GGTCTTTGATGCTGGTTTGTACACGTAGACAGCCAGACTCTGAAACATTGGCAAACGACTCCCGTTTACACCTTTGTCTGCTATAGGGATCAACCCCACGGAGCTGCAGTTCACCCTACTTTTTGGACTCATTCCATGTCTTTAACGCTAAGTGCATTAGAAGCATTCGCCAAAACGAATGATTAGTCTTCTTGTGCCATGATAGATTTTCGGGTACGCAGAGTATAGCCGCACTATCGGAACGAGGAACGCGAACCTTGGCCAGGCTTTATTTTATTCCGCTTGGAGATTTTTGGAAGTTGTGTCTTAAACAATGCCGAACCGTCTTTGAGAGAAATCTCGAGGTAACTTCCAATTTCAGTTCCTTTCAATGAATAGCTGCGGCTGAGCTTCCTCGCCACCAGTCGCTCCTAATTTGCGAGTTTTATTTTAATAGCTGCTTGAGAAGGTCTCTTGAATGAAGTGGACTTCATATAATCACCTCTGTGGAGTCCTCCATTTCTCCTGACACGAAATTTGGTATTTTTTCGCATGCAACTCACTCTAATTGTGCCATATTTTGCATTTTCCCTCATCTTCCAATGCTTTCTGTCGCTGGTACATAGTTCGTTTAGGCCTATTTGTAAGGTTGTTTGAGCAAACTTTAGACTATTCACTGCTATTCTATATTTGCCTTTTGGACTGCTCATGTTGCGCGAGGTCAAAAAAACGTTCTTACTTTGCTTCCCCACCGACCATTTTTTAGATAATTAAGAACAAAGTCTTATATATCTGGCCCCATTGTTTTGTGCTGTGAGTTCTATCGGAAGACCGAGTTGCTTCCGAAAAGATCTACCATCTCCTGCCTTAACAAACATAACGCGTATCTCCACTTGCGGATCAAGCAGTTGGAGCATTATGATGAATCGTCAGTAGATGGTTGGTAGTGTGGGGCTGGGGATTTGAGTGTAGGAGTATCTCTTGGATTTTTTGTCTTCGGAGCACTCAGCGGGGATAGATACCTCCGCATCAAACGCCCTTGCCACCTTCGAACTTAGGGTCATTTGCTGTTAAGACGACTGCAGTCACGAACCTTCTAGGTGGTCAGCCAATAGCGGAGACTCACACACTAATCCAGCTGCCAAATCGAGCGGTTATCCCAGGCCCAGCGGTTTAGCAGATTCTTCGGCATTGTGAATGCATTAGGAGCACTCAAGTTAACGTGACTGAACTAGCCAGGGCTATAATAATCGTGGCTAACAGATTAACCGTCATTGATGCAGCTGGAAATAACGGAGGTGCCTGAAAAGTTGAGGGAATTAATCAAGGACGGCATAAATGCATGAAACGGAGACGGACGTTTAACTGAGTGAGGGCTCATACAAATATCCTCAACTCAGGCGTTTAACGTTTTCTTTAACTCCAACAACACCGTCCTCTAAATGATGGAGTCGCCGCCGCAGAATTAAAAAAGAGCTTCAAGAAATCAGAATAGAGAGTTGTTAATTCCTGTGAGGCCGAATTTTTCCCATCGATGGACGCGCTGTTAAAGCGACCGACTAAAACCATCAACGACGGACTAGCACGACTTCACATTTCAAGTCTAGCTGCTCTTGGTTCTGGTGTGGATGATTGAGGCTGACAAACAGGTCAGAAATGGTCGTTCCAAACCTATTTGTCCTTGTCGGCGTTCCTTCAACATCACCGATTTATTGGAAGTGCGCAGCAGCCTGCCTTTTAACTCCATAGTAGAGACAAACTTAATTTGCTCCATGCAACCAATCAGCGAAGTGCCGCTTCCATGTAACAGCTGAAGCCCACGTGACATAGTTCTCCAATAAACCGACGGCTGCATGTATCACAATTCATGGATGCTTCCTTATCTTGAGTGCTTGTCTATTTGTTATTTCCTGTAGATCTTGAAAATAAAGGTGGATGCATTCGTCGTCCGCTCCAACCAACAAGCTTCACTTCCAGGTTTAGACTCTAATAACACAACACTAACATTCCAAACCTCCCGAAGATTCAATTGAGTATCCCTACTTGGGGGTTTTTTAAAGTTGAGGTAAGTGGAGTCAGAGAGATCGTAAATTACCTCTTCATCTTAAAATTGTGAACCAACTATGCTATAATAATTTGTGGGACGTAATATCCGCAGTAAATTCCATTTAACTGGTCTTCCATCAGCCGATGGATAAATGGATTAGCCAAAAGTTCCTCCAATTCTTATGCTCAACTCTTCTGATATCCGGTGACAAGTCTCGTGTTGCAAAAACAAACCCTTCAAAACAGTTTTCGGCCCTCGAAATTTAATGAACGTTCGCTAACGATCAACCCACTGACGCTACCATCATTTATAAGAGAGACTGGGATCATCATTTCTTGAGCATTGTTCCTCAGCTGACTGACGCAAAACCGGACGTTTGATACTTTTGTATGTGGCTTTAATATCTGGCTGCATCTACTTGTCGGTAATGTTACTCTGTCCCTATTACGCGCCGCTGTGCGACCGATAACTGGGCTCGAGGGAGAGCCCCAAGGCACAACGGGGAGAATGAGTTCCATAAAAAAGATTGGTGAGCAGGCCCCCTCTACCAGCATCTACGTTATTACTTTGACCATTCACGAGCCTCTTGCATTCTTTATCTACCAAGCATTTCCTTTCGAAAGCAAAGTTGTTCGGGGCTCGGCAGTAGCTAGTTCTTATGAGCATTTTGCTAACTTCTGTGATATATACTTTTATTTAAAAAAATGTATGTTCTTCAGCACGCTCGTTTGAGCAAGAGCATTCAAGCAGATGGGGTACGTTTTGACTTAATTACATTTATTCTATACGACGTTTTGCCTTTAAATAAAAAAATCTATTATTTTATGTTGCGCAGTCTGATACTTAACGTGTATGAACTTATCACCCTCCAAAGTTTACGCTTACAGTTTTGGAATATCTCAGTAATAATTTTACAGTACTCTCTATGTGCATCCCAACACTACAACTACCTGTCACGAGTTTCCTCGAAAAAGCTCACAACTTTTTTCCCATTACTGTGAAACAAGGCCTGCAGAATTTGTGGAACAGATGGCACACAATGTCAGCAGGACCTAAAAGCCTTCCGAGCATAGATTTCATGTCAAGTTTTAACAAGTGTCACACTTGCAAAGTCTCCTTTAATGAGAATTGTTTGTATTTTAAAATGAGATTTTTTGAGAACAAATCAATTTGCCTCTAAAAATCAAAAAAAGACAATTTCTACGAAAAAATCGCTTCCGCAAGCAAGACAAATTATGCAAGTAAAAGAAGATTAAATGGCTCTCACTTTCAAGAGGGTTTTTATCAGCCACCAGCAGACATTAGTCAATAAAATGACCGCACGCTAACCTCCTTACTAAAACCGAAAATTTATTTTTTCGATTCCACATAATAATTGCTGTCCGGAAGAACGTCTGCTGATTTTCTAATGATGAACTTGCTCTTGGCTGTAATTCTACCAATGCGGGAGGTCAGCAGTTACAGTCTGCTGGCTGCACAAGTTTGCTAACAGTGAAATCTTCCTATGTTCCATAGTCTAGATGTGGAGAATAACTTCCACTTGGCTTAACGATTACGGTTACACTTTCGCGAGGTTTATCCGGGTTCAGTTATCATTTCTTAAGATGTTAAAAACCTAAGAGCAACTCATCTGTCGTCCGGCAGATTGTGCAGATGTCCGCGCATAGTATGCTCTCTGGACTGCTGCAGATAATGTTAACCGATCCTGCACTACAATGGCACTTAATAGGGGTCTAACCCACAAAAAGTACTTCACTACGGATGAGCCTTTGCTTGAAATGACCTATTAGTTTACAGTTCGAACGTCGTTGTCGATGATGCCTACTGTGAGCTCCATAGTAGGCTGAGAGCAGGGACGGTGACTTGCATGTGAATCAGTTTAAAGTGATATTAGATTTGCGATAAATCCTACGCGCTTCCTCCTTCTCCCCAACACTGGCCCGGGGTCATGGCCAAGTCAAGAAGACCAGAGGCGGTAGAGGGCGCAGATGGCTGGTGCGGCGCAAAAAAAACCTAGGCGTACCACACCCCGCTGTCCAAAACATACACTGGCCAGGATTTCACACACAACGAGAGAAAAATGGGGCGGCTCGGAATCCAAAAGGTGCGAATGTCATAGAGGCCACATTAAGAAGGATTCGTTGCAGCCTGACTTTCAGTCCACCAGTCCGTCACTACACACAAACACACGCTGGGATAATTGCGAGACCCGAGTTATCCAGTCTGTTGACAACCTTCAAGGCCGCAGCTTTTAGTGTGTCGTGATGGCCTAAAGCCTGCCAGACTGTTCATGGCAAGAAAAATGTGCTGGGTCGTCGACCTCCCTCTCTGTTCCCACTCCCAGGCCCCAGCCACTGTCTGAGCCGGTCAGATGTCTGCTGCTGGGAATGGGCGTAGTGGCTGACATAGCTAGTGGCCTTGTTTGCGCGTGCCACGGCGCTTAGCGCACTGAGATAATTTCAGACTCGGATCACACATGTAGCAGAGAGGTCATATGTGAAGGTGCCGAGGAACACACTTCCCGCTTACGTGAGAGGTGCCAATGACGTGCTTGCGTTGCATGATGTCGGATGTGGTCATGTGTGTTGTAGGTGCTGGTGGCGAGATATGGTAGCATAATATAGCCGGCGGTGTTCTACCGCAGGTTTTCGAGATGTCTATGATCTGATAGGCCCATATGATGGCTGAAATTTTGAGGGCTGAGCGGCATATTGAGGCGATGGCGTCTGGTGTGTGTCCGAGTTCCAGGCATTGGTTCGCCAGTCTCCGTGCGATGAATTTGCAAGTGGCAGACCAGGTCGATATGTGAGCCGAACGTGCTGTGATAATGGGAGCGGTACAGGTTGCGGATGTTGAGTCGGTTGTCGTTGTGATGCTGTTAGTGGCGGGCGCACTGATCGGTGGGAAGTTGATTGGGCTGAGGATGGGAGGGATGGCCTATGTGCAAGTTGTGTTAGACACGTCAATACTGTAGTCAATCCTGCTTTTGTGGACACGCACTTGACCGAATAGGCCCATGCGGTACATGAATGCTCAAGGACAGTGTGGACAGTGAAGGCTGATGCGGCGAACGTAAGTTGTGGCCCCTGTCACTGGTACGCCGGTCGCAGTGCGATGGATTCACAAGTGACCGCTCAGACCGAGACGTGAAGTGACGTGGAATCGCAGTTGAGACAGTTAGGACGAAGTCCACATCGCTGAGGCTGGGGGTGGTGATGGTGTTGGTGGTGGCTTTTGGGTCGTCGGGAGAGTCTTGTTCAGTGGTGGTGTTGGTAGTGGTGGTGGTGGCGGTCGTCGTCGTCGTTGCGGAGGCTGTGGCAGGGATGATGGACATGGCGGTGACCGACGGCGACTGGGCACGAGGATGTTGAGCATCGGCGGTGAGAGCAGTAGTTGTGGTGGACGCCATGGGGATTGGAATTGGAATGGTAAGAGAGGCAGCACTTGGGGTTGTCGGGCTGGTGCGTTGAGTCCAGAGGTGTCTAACGAATTCGATCCGCACACGGAATGGTCGTTGACAGCGCGGGCGTTTTGGAAGGGATGCGAGATTGGACTTGCGAATCGGTGGGGCCTGAGACTTGCGAGATCCAACTTTGGCAGCAGAGATCCATTTGGCATCAAAGGTGAGTGCACCAGTCTTTGCTGCTCTTCACCAGCCCGTCCGTTCTTCGCACAGTCTTCCAAAGTTTTCGGGCCAATCTGTAGCTGTTTCAAGGACTTCCACAAGCTGTCTTTGCTGCGCCGCGATTGATCTCATCGTCGATGAGCACTCGTGACAACATCTTCGTAGAAAAGTTGTTTTGGAATACGTTTGTCCGTCCCCTCGAGGTAAACGTTTCATTGGACTTGCAGTTGTCTCAGCGTAGCTTGGATGCTGAAGATTCCAGTCCGTTCCAGAACTTTTGTGTCCGGGATCCGGTCCTGCCACGTCAGATGTAGTATCTGCTGAAGACAACTGATGTCGGAGTGATTGAGATCCGGCGCCTGTTTCTCACAGACTGTCTAAATTTCTGCGTCATATATTAAAGTCGTCAAGTTGGCCGCTTTGCACATCTTCAATTTGGTGTTCAGTTGAAGGCCGTGTCGATTCCATGCGGAATTCTGTAGACGGCCGAAGTCTTAGCTGGCTTTGGAAATACGGTAAGTCACTTCGTCGTCGATTTTGGTGCACTGAGAATGTGCTGACCAAGAAAGCGAAGTTTCTCACTGTTTTTAGTTGGATGCCGTTGACTTGGATGCGCGGAACACTGTAAATAGCGTTGGGTGGTGATTGATACATGACCGCTGCTCTGTCTGTGCTTATGGTCAGCTTTTAGTTAGTAAAAGGCCTGTCAGTAAAGATCAAGGGTAGAGATTTTTGTTTCTAACATTTTGCCACTCGCACCTGGCCAGATCCCAGGCTTTGGCTTTATAGACTTGTGACTTGATAATTCTTCAGTTAAAGAGTGAATCGGTTGCAATACTTTTGATATCATTACGAATACCTGCTTCAAATAAAAGGACCATCAACGACCCGGTCAACTACACGAAGAAGCACAGTCATTTGACTTTATTTTATGCGCTTTCATATGGGGAGAGAAATAAAATATTTACCTACTGACGCGATCCAGTACACGCCAGGCCTAAAAATAGAGTCACTCAAATTTTAATCCAGATCGGACGTCACCACAGTCAAGAAATACACAATGTTCTGAAACATAGGAAACAATAGTCAAAACCTTTGAATATGCAAGAAATCGTTCCAATCCATCGAGCATGAATATGTGGCCGGGTGCTGTCGAATGAGCCTCGACTTGGGAGGTGCCGTTATTCCCCCTCATTGTTGTTGCCCGTTTTGTCCACTCGTGTGCAGAGCGGCCTTCCAGTTTCTCAGGCGTAGTTGTTTTGCCCGCAACTGAACCAAATTCGACAAAGGACCTCAAACGTTTCTTGCGTGGCAGTGGATCTTTTGGTTTCATTACTTCTGCCATCCCAAATCCGGATGGCTTGTGATAGCGAGTGACGGCTTCCGAGACCTTGCGCACGTAGGTTGATCACAGAATTCTGGTCCGAAGTATACGAAAGCCTTTAAGTCACAAGACACCTAAAAGATACCTTCATGTAAGGACCTAGATCTCAGACGAGCATACCTCGGTCAAAATCAATTTTATATTTTCTACAAACGTTGGAAGTATGAGCAGCTGAAAAAACTATTGGGAGAAACATGTCCTGTTGATACAGAAGGCTCCGATCCCAGCTCATTTGAGGTTCAGGCTATCCCATCTCTCGAAGTATGGTCATTAGCCAATCGTAACAGATTTAATGCACATTTGGGAGATTATGGTGAGGAAAGTAGTCAGATACGAAACTTGTACTGCTCTCAAACATATACTAAGCTCGTCTAAAAAAGAACGATTTTCGTATTGTTTTGTAAATATCGTTTACATCCCCTTTGCTACAGTGTGCGTTAAAGCCCATAATACACCCACGAGTGACGTTATATATTTAAGGTTTAGGATGGAAGTTGTTAAGTCGGAAATTGTTATGCGAGTAGGTAGTACTTGGAATTTTGTCCCGATCCATTTAATGCTCAATTAGCTATTTTTATCAACTTTCTCTGCGCTTGGGCCCTTACGACGGGCAAGCTACGCGATTATTCATTCCACAAAAGACGCTGACATATCCTCCTGCATATCAAACGTCTTAAATAAATTTGGGGACTCGATTATTATTTAGGCTTTTTGCCGTCTCTGCAACAACTTTAATTGCGACTACAGAGAAACGTAGACTTATCGTCCAGCGCTACACAGGGTAAATTAATGTCATGTACGACATACTTGAGACGATGTCTTCGAACTTTTCACGGGAGAAAACAATTTCTCCCCTTATCCGCGACTGTCTCTGAGGATGGGTTCGAGTGAGAATCCGAAACGTCAGGCCAATAAATTTCTTGTCCCAGTGGTCGCATCTTCGCCTTCTGAAAAACAATATAGGTGCTGTAATGTTCTTACCTTATCCGAAAAGACATCGACCTGCAAAATGTGGTAATTTTGTTAACGTTCGCCCATTCATGCACGTTGTATTGGGTGTTTACAGCCAGTGCAATGTGGAAAGACGTAGGGCCAGCGCGAATATTCCTTTAAAATGCCCTTACTCCAGCTGTGCTAACCTCCGTCCTAAACCTAAACATAACCTTTAATTTAGCCCTAACACTAACCCCGCCTCCTGGAACTAAGTGCAAGATCACCTGTAAGATGGAGGTACTCATTCCCGTGCTGTGACGTCTGTGGCCGGTGGGTCATGCCTACCTCGACGGGTCGCAACAGCTGAGAGACCGTTTTGGACAGTCAGCTAACGTAAGGAACGGCCGTTGAGACTGTGGGTTGCTCTTCATTCGACGGTGATCTGCCCGATCGACGTTTTACCAGGCTCACAGCAGCCGCTGCCACAAATACATGCTCTTCTTCCTAAAGTCTCACAGTTTGTGTATGGTGTGGTTCGCTAAGAAACACACTGTTTTTCAAACCACGAGGGCATATTTGGGCTGATCTCCAAGCCGTATAGATGATATGGATAAGAAAACCTAATGGATGAGTTTGAGACCAGCATATATAGACTAAAGCGACCGCTCTTACTCTCTTCGCTGGCGGTAATCACGAAAAAGACGATTATGCATTTCATAAAGCGCGAGTCTGTGAGGCAGGCAATCGCATCCCACATTGTTATCAGTCATAACAAAAGTGAATTCCTCACTGACGACGGCACTCCGATGTGCCACATACACATGGCCAATGGTATTGGCAACAGTACTGCACCCCTCCCAACCTCTTTCTTCCCCATGTGTCCGCCGGTTATCCGTTGTTGTCATAAGGACCTGCAGGAATTTTCGTGTTGCTAACCCCTCACCCTCTCTTTTCTCTCTCTCTTTTGACATCTGCCCAGTCAACATACTTGTCTGCTTCTTCTTCCTCCTCCTCCTCCTCTTCTGCTGGTGCCACTACGGACGTGCACGTTCTTCTGCAGAAAGCAACCCCCGCCCCCCATCAGGGTGTCATCCCGCTTCTAGCACACACAAACACACACACGCACGCACATTCGTCTTAATTTCGGAGGGGCGGGGGGCTGGCTAGGTCGGCGCTTACTGCTGCTGCTGCTGCTGCTGCTACAACTGATTGATGGGCAGATGGCAGCACATTGGGTGACTAACGTCAATACACTGACGACGGCAGGCCCTCCCACAGTCCACTTGCCTGCAGACGTCCACGCGCCTACTCCTACGCACCACGCCTTCGAGCGTGTGTAGCCTGCCTCGCGTTTACGCACTGGACTGCGCGTACGTGCACGTGAAAAATGGCCTGGGAGGGATGGCGGACGAGAGTGAGAGAGAGAGAGAAAGACAATGAGGGAGATGGAAGGGTAGGAAGTGAAATGCGCCTGAGTGACACATCAACCCGTCATGGCCACCCACGGACACTTGCGCAGGCGGTGGTCGGGCGTGTTACTCTGGAAGAACATAGTGTAAAAACCCGTGGAAGTCGTGAGCTTTTATGCATACATACATTTATGCGCAAACTGCATTATGTTAGGGGCATAAGCTGGGGTAGGTGCCAACCCAATAAATGAAGCCATCTACACAGAACACTGGTCTTAATACCCATAAAATTAGCTGCAAAACGACTAGCGTGTCTCTGATTGGCCGGCGATCTGTCTAAATAAAATGCGCGGTTGGTGGTAGCGTTTACAAACTGACCATAAAATTCGACTTGTCATTTTCTATTTTGCCAATTTTCTCTGGGTTTATATTTACGTCTACAGGTTATGAGACTTACAGAAACTCAACTTTTTCAATAGCTGAAAGTTCTGGCGCCACATAAGTTTTTTTACCTCCCTTATACTTGCGGAAAGTAATGCGTACGAGACATTTCATTCGGTAGGATGCTAATGGCTTATTTTTAAATCCCATCTCCACTTGTCTCACGTGAATTCGGAGCACCTAAATCTCACCATCATGACGGCGTCAATGGAAAATTAGTTCTGAAGTAATGCTAGCAATGGTAGGGGGTGCTCATCGATCGTTCGTACGGAACTCACTCCTTCCGTTGCGCCTTACGGGCTCTCTCTCGAGCCCAACCAGCAGCCGCACAGCGGGACATGATATATAGGCAGTGGGAGAATGGAATGACCATTTCTGACTTATAAGCCGTCGTCAGCCAGTCATACCCAACTCCGAAGTGTGGAACACCCGAGGCTCGAACTCGCGACCTGTTAGTTAGAAGTCCACGCCTCTAACCACTGAGGCACGAACCCGTTGCCCTGTCGGTTTTTGAAAGGAGTGAGTTCGTACGAACGATGGGTGAGCGCCCCCTAGCATTGTATATTCCCGATCGAAAACCGACAGGACAACGGACTCGTGCCCCAGTGGTTAGAGGC